CAAAGCAAGCTTAGAAGAATAAGCAGTTCTTAACAAATTCAAAAGAATAGAATTGCTTATAAAGGAACTGCAGATAATCAGACTGAAACAGTTCTTATATAAAGCTTTCAGAACAAATTATACTTATATCAAGTTCAATATATACATTCAAGAATATAAGTGCAGCATACTATTGAATAGTAGTGCTTAGGGAAACTTCATATTCTTATATATTATCAATCAAGCATAATTATAATAGAGATGAAAGAGATGCTCATATACTCTCAGCATCATAGAAAAACAATCTGTTGCATACAACCAAGAAGTAATCAATAAGAAAACTAATCATCTATCTATTTTAATCCAAGAACATATAATCAGAGCTTTCTTTAATATCACAGATATAGTACAGCATAAGCTGATTATAAAGCTTTTATAGCTCAAGAAGCATAATTCTCAAATTAATTGAATTACTAGCTAGATCTTATAAAAATAAGCTATACTTAGAGAAATAATTATAATTAACAGTATAGGATCGAAGCTAGTAATTGAAGAATACTCAGAAAAAGAAGCTTCATACAACTTTCTATATACTTCTAAACCAGCAGAGCTGGCAGTTCAAGGAGAAGAATCTAGTAATAAGCGAATCCAAATAGTGCTAGAGCGTTAACAGATTAGCAAAATAATAGAAGCGAAACTCTTAGCAAGTTAGTTCACTCCAGAGCAATAAGAATAAGCTTCAGAATATGAATTGTAAACTTACATGAGAAAAACTTCGAAACCAGGCTCTCAAGCGCTCAGTTCAGCTTGAAGCGAATGCTTAAGACTCTCAAAAACGTTACTGAAAACAACGAACGAAAAGAAGCATGCTCAACAATATCTACTATTCCTTCAGATAGCAGAAATAATACAAGAATCAGAACCAATACTCGCAAATATACTACAAGAATATCACAAGTTCAAGAAACTATTCCAGAAAGAATTGAATACAGGATTGCTAGAATATAGCTTATATAACTACAAGATTCTGCTACAAGAAGAAAAATAGCTCAAATTCTTCTCTATTTACAAACTAAACAAAGCATAGCTAGAAGCACTTCAGAAGTATCTCAACGAAAACTTTAAGAAAGAATACATATAATTATTGCAATTATCAGCAGAATATCCCATCCTATTTATACTCAAGAAAAACAGCAAGCTTAAGCTATATATTAATTATAAGCAATTCAATAATATTATAATTAAGAATCGATATTTATTACTACTTATTAAGAAACTATAAGATAGATTGCAAGAAGTATAATAGTTTATAATTCTAAATCTAAAAAAAGCTTATAATCTAATTAGAATAAAAGAAGGAAAAGAATGGAAAACTGCTTTCAGAATATGCTATAAATACTACGAATATTTGATTATGCTCTTTAGTTTAACAAATGCTTCAGCTTTGTTCTAGGAAATGATTAATCACGTTCTATACAAGCATCTGAATCAGTTCGTTATTATCTATCTTAACAATATTCTTATTTTCTCTTAAATACTGAAAGAATACAAAAAACATATAGAAACAGTATTGCAAATGCTTCAAGATGCAAAACTCCTTGTAGAATCTGCAAAGAATCACTTTCATATACAAAAGATCAACTATCTCGGATTCATAATTAAGCTAGAATGTATTAAGCTATAGAAAGATAAAGTAGAAGCTATTAGGAATTAGCTAATTCTTAGAAATGTTAGAAATATTAAGTTTTTTTTCGAATATATTAACTTTTATAAGCAGTTTATCAAAAACTACAGCTAAATCGCATACTCCCTTACAAATCTTATCAAAAAGAATCAACTCTTCAAGTAAACTTTCAAAGCATAAGAAGCTTTTAATAAAATCATCAAGCATATTATCTTAAAGCTAATTCTATATAAAGCAAACTCTTATAAATCCTTTAAAATTGAGACTAATGCATCAGAATATGCATTCGGAAAACAACTTGGTTAGCGAAACAACTAAGAGCATCTAAGAATTATAAGCAACTTTTCAAAGAAGTTGAATAGCTTGGAAATCAATTATAGAATCTCTAATCAGGAACTTATAGCAATAGTGAAAGCTTTCGAGAAATAGTAATACTATCTCATTAGCGCATAATACTCAATCATAGTTCATTCGAATTACAAGAATCTAACTACATTTATAATAATTAAGGTTTTGAATAAGTAACAAATCAGATAGATAGAATTCCTTTTATAATTCAATTTCAAGATTATACATTACAAAAGCTTGGAGAACAGATAAGCAGATGCTCTTAGCAGAAGATCAGACTATTGAAATGCAGATTTTTTGGATATATAGAATATCTTTGCTCAAGATGAATCAGAAAATCTCGTTAATATATACAGGGAACTGAATACTGCTTTCAGAATCGAACTCTCGGAAAGAAATCCAGAATCAATAACTCCAAACGAACAAAACAACTATATCAAGAATATATATAGTATATCAGCATACGAGCACTAGGGAGTTAAAGCAATCTATGAATGCATTAAAAGATACTGGAATTCATTAGATCTTAAGAAAAGAATTGAAAGCATTCTATAATAATGCAATAGCTGCAGAAAGAATAAAGCAGAAAGATATAAGCCTTATAAACTGCTATAACTCTTATTAGTATCTACAGCTGTTTAGCAATCTATCAGCCTAAACTTTATTATTAAGCTATCTTTCTTACAAGAACTTTTAATCAAAGTGCAGTATGATAGCATTCTGATAGTGATTTGCAAACTAAGCAAGTATGCTTACTTTCTCCTTTATAAGGAAAGCAGTACAGCAGAAGAACTCGCATATGCATTCCTCAGAATGATTATTGCCAACTATAGCATACCAGAGAAAGTAATCTCTGATAAAAACAGAAAGTTCAATTCAAAGTTTTGAACTTCACTCATAAAACAGCTCGGAATATACTACAAAATATTCACAATATTCCATCCGCAAACAGATGAACAAACAGAAAGAATAAATCAGGTTATTAAACAGTACCTTCGATACTATATCAACCAGAAACAGAACAATTAAATCGATCTATTGCTTCTTATATAGTTCGCTTATAATAGCACGGATACAAGCATAACAAAGAAATTATCATTCTTCACGCTTTACAGATACAATCTGTCAGGTGGAAAGGTTGCAAAGGCAATGTAGCGAGGTCTTTTCTCTCTTTCAGGGGTATACAACCAGAATAACATTGAGGCCTAAGGAGCTAAGTTCTGCTCAGCAGTGCTGACGTGGCTAGAAAGCCGCTTTATAGCTGCATATTGCTTAGTCATTCGTAATCCAGCTGGCTTAGCTGGCCCTGAGCTTTGCTGGCACAATCGGCCCTGACAGATTGTTCCCCCTTATCAGGCTTTGTCCTCAAGGCCTTTGAGGCTTCCGAGCTTTCGTTGCTTCCAGGCTTCCGTTGCTCCCAAGCTTCCGTTGCTTCCAAGCTTCCGTTGCTTCCAGGCTTTCGCTGCTTCCTAGCTGCTCCTACGCCTTCTCAATGCTTCAGGCTCTTAAGATCTCTCAGTGCTTCAGGCTTCTCAAAGCTTCTCAAGATCCCTCAGTGCCTCAGGTTTCTCAAAGCCTCTCAAGATCTCTCAGTGCCTCAGGCTTCTCAAGGCCTCTCAAGGTCTCTCAGTGCCTCAGGTTCCTCAAGGCCTCTCAAGATCTCTCAGTGCTTCAGGCTTCTCAAGGCCTCTCAAGGTCTCTCAGTGCCTCAGGCCTCTCAAGGCTTCTCAAGATCTCTCAGTGCCTCAGGTTTCTCAAAGCCTCTCAAGATCTCTCAGTGCCTCAGGCTTCTCAAGGCCTCTCAAGGTCTCTCAGTGCCTCAGGCCTCTCAAGGCTTCTCAAGATCTCTCAGTGCTTCAGGCTTCTCAAGGCCTCTCAAGGTCTCTCAGTGCTTCAGGCCTCTCAAGGCTTCTCAAGATCTCTCAGTGCCTCAGGTTCCTCAAGGCCTCTCAAGGTCTCTCAGTGCCTCAGGCCTCTCCACCATCTCCCTCCTTCTCTTCTAGCTTCGTCCCCGAAGCCTGTGAAAAAAAAAATCTCTTTTTAATCACATTTCAGACGTAAGTCTTCCGAGTGCAATACTCGCACTATATACGCTGCTCAGTTGCTGCTCCCTCAGCGCTTTATCCAGGCACTCTTCAGAACTTAAAGCTGTTTGATGTAGATTGCAAGCCTTTCACTAGGAACTTGGTTTGCAGCTAAGAAGCCCAGCATTCAGAACAGCATCCCTGCAGCTATAACGGATAATTACAGCTTTCCGTCTTAAGAGTTGCTTTCTAGCAATTCTAAAGCTATTATCATACTTTGCTCTATTGCTAAGCGCAAAAGAATAATTAGTTTACAACCTAATACTCAAGCAATTTCAGTTGCTAAGCAGATACTCTGCTTCAGCTTTGCGCTCTCGCTTAAATAGCAAAGAGCATACTTTCGAAAACAGAAGATACTCAGATCTACTGCTTACTTATTCTGCTCTCTCGCTCGAATAGCGAAGAATATACTCTCGAAAACAGAAGATACTCAGATCTACTGCTTGCTTACTCTGCTCTCTTGCTCGAATAGTGAAGAATATACTTTCGAAAACAGAAGATACTTAGATCTACTGCTTGCTTACTCTGCTTTCTTGCTCGAATAGCGAAGAATATATTTTGTTCTAGCTTAGCAACTCGAATGCTCTGAATTTCTTCTGAATGCTTCTTGCATGCTGCTTGCATATTGCTTGCTTGCTATTTGCTCTAGCTTAGCAACTCGAATGCTCTGAATCTCTTCTAAATGCTTCTTGCATGCTGCTTGTATACTGCTTGCTTGCTGTTTGCTCTAGCTTAGCGACTCGAATGCTTTGAATCTCTTCTGAACGCTTCTTGTATGCTGCTTGCATACTGCTTGCTTGCTGTTTACTCTAGCTTAGCAACTCGAATGCTCTGAATCTCTTCTAAATGCTTCTTACATGCTGCTTGCATACTGCTTGCTCGATACTGCTTGCTTGCTGTATGCTCTAGCTTAGCAACTCGAATATTCTGAATCTCTTCTGAATACTTCTTGCATGCTGCTTGCATACTGCTTGCTTGATACTGCTTGCTCGCTGTATGTTCTAGCTTAGCAACTCGAATGCTTTGAATCTCTTCTGAATGCTTCTCGTATGCTGCTTGCATACTGCTTGCTCGCTGTTTGCTCTAGCTTAGCAACTCGAATGCTCTGAATCTCTTCTAAACGCTTCTTGCATGCTGCTTGCATACTGCTTGCTCGCTGTTTGCTCTAGCTTAGCAACTTGAATGCTCTGAATCTCTTCTGAATGCTTCTTGCATGCTGCTTGCATACTGCTTGCTCGACACTGCTTGCTCGCTGTATGCTCTAGCTTAGCAACTCGAATGCTCTGAATCTCTTCTGAATACTTCTCGCATGCTGCTTGCATACTGCTTGCTCGACACTGCTTGCTCACTGTATGCTCTAGCTTAGCAACTCGAATGCTCTGAATCTCTTCTGAACGCTTCTCGCATGCTGCTTGCATACTGCTTGCTCAGCACTGCTTGCTTGCTGTATTCAAGGCTCGAAAGCTCGAAAATCGAAGGCTCGAAGATCAAAGGCTCGAAGATTAAAGGCTCGAAGGTCAAAAGCTCGAAGGTTCGAAAAGAATAATAATCTGATCGTTTGCTCTGCTCCTGCTCAGTATTAGCGCTGCTCCTAGGGAAGAAAAAAAAAGATAGAAAGCTTCACCGGATTGCCTTCTTTAAAAGGGCTAGGCTTCAAACTGTCAGGTGGAAAGGTTGCAAAGGCAATGTGGCGAGGTCTTTTCTCTCTTTCAGGAGTATACAACCAGAATAACATTGAGGCTTAAGGAGCTAAGTTCTGCTCAGCAGTGCTAACATGGCTAGAAAGCCGCTTTATAGCCGCATATTGCTTAGTCATTCGTAATTCAGCTGGCTTAGCTGGCCCTGAGCCTTGCTGGCACAATCAGCTCTGACACAATTCAACAGCTTATCACAAAGCATTGCTAGAAGCAAATGTAGAAGCTGCAGATAAGAGGATTAAGAAGATTAAGAAAGTTCAGAAGAAACTTTGATTAGAACTACAATTCATTCAGAAATGAATAGTATAATACGCAAACTCCAAGAGGATTAAGGAACTAATCTTACAGGAAGGAGATAAGATCTACTTACTTCGGAAAAATATTAAAACAACTAGATCTAGCAATAAATTTGATTATAAGAAGTTAGAACTATTCAAAATCTTGCAACAGATTTCTCTGGTTAATTACGAGTTAGTATTATCTTATAGGATGTGGCAGTGGCCATAGGGGCCTTAGGTGAATGAAGCCTGAGTGGCCATCCTGACTCACTGGCCTGAGCTATTCAATGGAAAGGCAGTGAGTTGCTAGGTATGCTAGCTTAGTTGGGACTAGTGCTAATTGCCTTCTATATAGAAGGCAATTGGCAAGCGTGCTTTGAGATAGATTAATTGAAGAATCATCTTTCCTTCTACCATTTGTACAGCCCCTAAAGTGCCTTCTACAAGTGGTAGCTACGATCATACACTGCATTGAGGATTCACCCCACGAAGCTACTGCGCTGATATGCTTATCTGGGAAATCAGCGGCTTTGGCAACCCAAAAACACCAAAAGCCTACTATTGTGAAGATCGTGGTATCAAAACAACAAGCTCTTGGTACTACGCTTACCTGAGACTGTGCTACGGACTTCCCTGATGCGTTACGCTCATCTGAGACCTTGCAAACAGGCGTTTTCATCAAAAACACTACAAAAAACCATCAAAAACATGCTTACGGGCATTCACAAGCATTCACAGCTAAGCTGTTTTTTCCTTTTACTCCGTCGCTGGTGGAAGCCCTGGCAGTTGAAATCAGCAAGCATACTCTGATCCTTGCGCAGACGCCACAAGTTACCCTGATTATAGCATGCTCGCTTGAGAAGCCTAAACCATCTCTTAGCCTTCATATCCATCTGTTGCTTATTGCTAATTAGCTTAATTAATAGCAATTCACTATTGATTTTAACTCTAGCAAGACAATCAAACAAGCTGAGCTAACTATAAGTAGTTTCTCAAAGAATCCAACTCAACTACCTATCCACTATGCTATCACAGCCAACCTAGCTGCCAGTCTAGCAACACAGCTAGGCAAAAACTCCAAACTTCTTTATGGATGCTTAATGAGTAAAGATGCAATAGCTTCTCGAGAAGAAGAGACTGCTAGTTAGAACAACTCGTTTCAGGCGGGAGACTATTATGGCAACAGCTTAGCACTATTCGAGTTCCCTGCTGCGCAATGCGAGACTAGCACTCTCTAATACAAGAATTCTGAAGAACTAGCTAACTTCTTAAACAATCCTGCTTTCAGAAAGTATATTCATTACATCAAGATGCAGGCTAATAATGCTAAGATAGCTGCAATTCATGCAAATCTGGAAATCAGGAAGACTTCGGAAGCTGTAATGCATCTTGAAACTTAGCAAGCTACAATAGCTATCAAACAAGAAGCTCTCGATACTCAAGTTGGTAAACAAATCAATATGCTAGCTCAGCTGATGCATCACTTCAAGCTTGGCTCTGAAGCTACTGCTTCAGATATTCGCTTTCAGGCTAGCAATAGTAATCTACTCCCTGCTATATCTAGCTCTTCACAAGGTTCAGCAGCCTTCTAATGAGCTGTTTACTATGGTGCTAGAGGAAGTAACTCTGATGATTCGAGTAATAACTCTGATGATTAAGGAAGCGGTGATGAAGGCTGTTATTCTTCTGATAAGCTTCTAGGATCTGAATCAGATAATTCTTATAACCAGTGCAACAATACTTCGTTCTCTAATCAATTAAGCACTCAGCATATTACGAAAATGAAGAGAGAAGAACTTGGAATCTTCGATTCTGAATATAACAACCCCGAAGATATTAGCATGGTTACAGTTAGCAAGAATCTCATCTTTACTAATATCTAATCTTTTCTAAACTATTTTAAGTTTCTCAAAGATAGCATAAATAATGCTAATATTGAAAACGAAATATTGCATATATTTAGCATCTTACTGCAAGGCGCTGCTATTTACTAGTAAACTAACAAGTTAACTAATACTAAGCATGCTAAGCTTCATCAAGGAGGATATAGCATCATTACCAATTTCCTAGCTCAGCAATTCGCTATGAAATCCATATATATTATACAAAAGTTCCGTAAAAGCTATCTAATCTTGAGAAATATTGCTAAGAATAAGTTTGCTCTGCGAAAATTCATTTAGAAGAATCTCTGATATGCATATAATATAAGCATTCTTAACTGCAAGAACCTTAATTGAAAGAGCGTCTTGAACGATATCTGAAGCAAAATGAATGAATGCATTCAGCATTATCTTATCTCTTCTTATTACTACAATACTCTGAATGAGTATATAGAGGAGATTGAGCAAGCTAAGAGCATCTTGGTTAACATTGCTGATTAATGCTATCCTGAGTACTACAGAGAAAAGAGTAGTTATTAAGACTGTTTCTCAGCTTGCAAGTACAATTCTTGTATCAGCAGCAACTGCTATAACAACCAAGATTGTTAAGATAACTGCAATTGTGATTGCAGAAGGAATTGTAATTATAACTGCTGCAACAAAGATTGATTAAGCTATTGTAACAAAAGCATAATTCATTCTTCAAGATACAAGCTTCGAGATTGCAATTTATATCAAAACTAGGATTCTAACTGCAATAAGCCTTGGAATTGCAACTGCAACTATAATTATAATTGGTTTAGAAAGGATAGCAAGTCTGAGAATTGCAAGAAATGCAATTAGAGTTGCTTAGCAATCTCTGATAAAAAGAAAGCTTACAACATTACTGAGAACAAGAATGAAGATATGCTTTCTGAGAATGATAGTAATAATCTATTTTCGTTTAGCGATAAGCAGGTATACTGGATTGATAGTTCTGGATAATTGCTCTTGCTAATCTTATTATACTACTCTTAATTATCTAGCTTTATAAGCTGCGTTTACAACTTATGCAAAGTTAACTACTTAGTTAACTATATATATATCTTTTATAATAGAGAGTTTAATTCTCGAAGCTAGATATTTCAGTATATGAGTGCTTGTTAGGATTGAGATCAGAAGATGAATGTCTTTAAAGAAGTTAAGAGATATCTAAAGCATGCTATGTTTTTTGAAACTGCTTTGCTTGAAACAAGCATATTACCAGTCTAATATTATAATAAAGATATTCTTACAGAAGCTATACTCAAAAAGCAGCTGAATAAGCTTATTAGCGATTATACTTACATGAAAATCACTGTACAAGCTACTCTTACTGGATCTGATATAACTCTCTGCAAAGATATTAGCATTGATTACAACTTGATAAACTAACAGTTTCTCAGCCAGTTCCCTGCTGCTAAGGTCTCGATTTACAAGCTTTAAAAGATTGGGAGTGTAGGAAAGAGCATGATTATGCTATTCAAATATGCTGAATAAGACTTCTATACCTGTGGCAAGCATGCTAACAGCTCTTCTGAACTGCTATGCTAGCATGCTGAAGCATGGATCATGAATAATCTATTCGCTGAAGCCCTTATCAGCAATGAATAGCTCAAAGCTCGCAAGGCTATTATCAATTACAAGAATCAAGCTATTATATACTTAGAGCAAAGCAACTTTTAGATGCTTTTTAAGATTCAGCATTAGGCTCTCTCATCTACAGTGCGAAAGATAAAGATAGCTCATGCTTATATTATCAGCTCTGGCGAGACTGCTCAGGTAGCTGTAAGATATACTGAACTGCTTAAAAGCTGCTCATTCTCTTTCACATCGATCTACAGCACTGCACTAAATGCACAGATCAATGCTTCTTCACTCCCTGTAATAGCTCTGTACAATACTACAGAAGAAGCTATTAAGATCTCCAAAGGCACCTGCATGAGAACTATCTATGAGTATGAGAACACAGAATAGTTCAAAGCTATCTTCAAGAGCGCTGTAAAAGCTCTAGCAGTAGCAGCTGCCTTGGAAGAACTGGCATCAATCTACCAGCTGGCTGATATCTATGCAATAAATGTATATAGCATGCAATTCGCATCTTTATTAAAGATTTCTATTAATTAGATAGCAGTAAACAGAGAATTTAATCTTATACTAGAGATTATTACAATAGCTAAGAATGCAGAAATAGAGATACATTCTATTAGTAATTTCCTGCTAAGGAATAGCTTATTCTCTACACCTTACAGCAACGCTATTTATTACTCCTTTAGCAATATGAGAATAGCTTATAGCATCAATCTCTTAATAAATACCGAAATACTATTATTCAACAATCACAATCTCAATATACGAAAATCTTCAACTATTATCAAAGGATCTCTAAGCATCAAAGCTTCAAATAAAGCCCCAGCAATGATTCTTAATAATAGTATTTGCATTTATTTATAGAACTCAGTTAAAGCTTAATAATTCAAGAGAATTATTAAAAAGTATTCTGCTATATAAGAAAATAAAAGCTCTCTTAATATATCTGAGAACC